TTTTTTTTTTTTTTTTTTTTTTTTTTTTTTTTTTTTTTTTTTTTTTCTTAAAGAAGGATTCCTTTTTTCAAAGTCTTTCTTTCTGAAAGATTTTTTTCTCTTTTAAATTTCTCTTTAGAAAAAAAATTGTTATAATCAGTGGACTCGATCGACAAGCCGAGAATGCAATTGTAGAGCTTCTGTTAGATGGAAGTGAGCTACGTACGTGTACTGCAAGTAAATTTCACCACGTTGAAACGTGTATTTTATAGATTTATTGGCCAGTGTAAAACAGTCCGAGAAATTCTTCGGAAACTTCGAAACATTTATTGGAAACATTCCATTGCAGTGACATTTTAGGAAGGAATTTATGGGTAAGAAAGGACGAAAGAAGAAATAAATGTTCCTACTTTGATATTTCATTCTTTCCAGAAATAAAAGAACATCACGCAAACACACATATGGCTTATAAACAATTCGAGATTGGAAATTATTTCCTCCTGCAAATTATTCATCCAATTCTACTTTCTTAGTATTACAATCCTGGATTTTGAATACATTGAAATCATTGATTTCTTTATTTTGCAAGTGGTTTTACGAAGTAAAGGTTTAAAATTTCAAAAGTATGCAAAAAATACATAGAACATTCAACGCTCGTGACATTAATTTTATAGATGAAACGTACTTCTATTTCAGTAGAACCACTTCTTTATATATTGATAAAAATGTATTATTACACAGACATCCATACTAATCTAAATGTATCCTTAGAAAGATATCTTTAGAATACGCTGCTGAAGCAAGATCACTTATTTTAGTGTCACCCTGTGTCTGGGGATGTTGTAAAGCTTCAATTATAGGGCATAAAACTATGCTGCTAACGTGTATCTATGATCCTCGAATTTTTGTGTCTCAGCCTTGCTGAGACCAAAGAAAATCGACAATGTTTCAGGAAGATGTCTAACACAAAATTTATAATTAAAGTGGGAAATGATAATATCAGATATTGTTCGAATTCGGGATGTTTTACTAACGTTAGAAAAATGCAAAATGCTAAAATAGAAAAGTAGAAAAATTTTACAATGCAATATAGAGTATACGAGCTTTTAAAACAATCATTTAAATCTTTAAAAATGTACTATTTCATATCTGTAAAATATTTAATAAAGATTACAAATTGGTCATTTCGATAGAGTTTCAATGTTTTAATTGTTTGGATGGTGGACACAGCTCGACCAAAGGTTTTCGAGATTTCATTGTCGATGGATTGAACGAAGTTTCCTTGATCTAATTGCAGCCTATATTATATATCAATACGTGTTTGATCGTAATATAGTATATATATATTGACTGATATATCGATGGTCTTGGGGGAAGAATGAAAGAACAAAGGGTTGAAGAACGACAATTCTTCGTGTCGTTTCGTATTTGGTTATATTGTTTTGTCATAATTCTCGTGCTCTCTGTTCAGAGATTGTTAAAAAAGTGAATTGTGTTAGAAAAGTGGTCTTGTAATTTGATTCGCGTGGATCGCTTCGACATTGCTTCTGAAGAATCGGGAGGAACGTGGAAACGTGGATTCGTCCATTGAAGTGAACTGGTCTACTCGCTTGGAACGATCCCTCTCTTTTGCGTTTTTCCATTTTTATTCAATTATACTATATTCTGTATAGCTTTCTTTAATTAATTCGTACATAAATTTGTTTTCCAGTGAACATTTTCTTTCCCATCAAATTTTAGAATCATTTGTAACACCGTCTATAAATATCAATTTCTATCAATTTCTGTATCAATTCTTCGTCTAATAATTATTGAAAATAGCTCGACTTGGAGTAATTATTTAAATTTATTAAGTTACTTAGATTTTAGAACAATTAAATTTAAATTAAATACATAGGACAACTTGAAATGAACTTAGATTGTTGAAAAAGAAAAATTAAATAAAATAGACGGAAATCCAGTTATTTGATGAAAGAATTGATTTCTTTCGTCT